GGCTGTCTCAAGGAGCCGGGGGGCGGGCACTAGGACCTGGGGGGGCCGGCTCTGTAACCTGGGGGCGGGCACTAGGACCCGTGGGGTGGGCACTAGTGTTCACAGCAGAAGTTCCCTGTTCTGCCGTCAGTACTTACAGGAGACTGCATCCTCAATCTGTGTGACATTGGCAAAATGTGCAGTGTTGGGAATTCCCAGGCATCTCATTCCGTGAGCATGTCGCCATTCCTGGGAAGAAGAGACATAAGACAGTGTACAAGAGGGAATGCCACTTTATCTGCAACGCCGAAGACATGCGAACATCTGGACAGGGTGAAACAAGTACCAACCAAAACACAAATCTACACACAGCCCTGAAAACCTCCATTCGAATATTTTTCCTATGCTTTAGACAGTGTAATGTACAACAGGCTGTCAGCCAAGAGCCACTGTACAAACCAGACCTGGACACTGCAATTATTAGTGTTCAAACGAGAAGAAACCGGATAGAAACTGGCACAATACATCTACACAATGTATAGTTCCAATCGGAGGGCCCTCAGCATCAGCCCAAGCCCAAGCCCACACTTTGGCAGTGGAAAAAGTGCACCTGAGCACTCCACTGAATTACTAGTTATTTCTTATAAAGATTATCTGAACATGGTATTGATGTTTCTGTAGCAAAATGTTACTTACTGCAAAGTGACGCTGAAAAGCTTTGGGCCCTCGGTAGGTGTAGTTACCACAAATCTCACAGTTGTAGTTGATGTTTAAACCATGTAATTTATACAACCAGTATGGGATTGGCTGACAAGAGAAGAGAAATGAGGATTAGGTCAAACAGCAGAAGAGTGTGGAGTCGGTGACACCTCCCACTTTTCCAGCCCTGTTACCTTGCCATCCCAACCAAGAGGCAGGTTTTTAGGATTATAAATGATTTCATTTTCTTCATCTTCACTCTCGCTCTCACTGATCTGCTCCTCCTCCTCTTCCTCCCTCTCCTCCCCTGTCCGTGCTTGCTTACGCTGCACATTCTCATGAGTGAGGTGCCTCTGTTCCTAGAGTGAGAAAAGAGCAGGAATTGTTCACAGCAACAAAGGAAGGGCAAACTCTTGCTGCAAGACTTGGACATGAAATGGAAATTAACTTCATTGATGTGGTTCCCAGAAGCAAGAAACACCCCCAAAAAGACAAAACAGGCTTGCCCAGAACATGCAGCCTCTGGGTCTGGGGTAGACCTGAGACATGCCCATTCCTAAAAGCCTGCAAAATAATTATCTAGTGGAAATATAAATGTAATTCATCAGATTCTACTGACTGACAGAAAGAGCTATCTGCTAAAACGCACTTTAAAACTGTGGACATGAAAAGAACTCTTTTTACTGCCTACAAAAGCACTGGGTAAAGATGTGAATGACCTTTCAGTCACTGTCTGACAGCTCCAAAATAAAAACCCCCAAGACAGAATAAAATCCTTACCCCAAGAACTTCCACATACTCATAAATCTGAGCTTCCAGGAACGCAAGATCTTTATTTCTTTCAGTATCTCTGGAACGAGATAAAGGAACTTAATAAAGCCCATTCTAGAACTGCCAACATCATGTGTGCACTGAGTTCCTACAGACAAATTTGACTGTATACAGCAAGAAAGCAGAACCAAATGCCAAATAAACTGCACACAAACTCAGCTCTGGTGTCTTCCACTTGGACTATTGGGCCCAACATTAAAAGCTTCCAATACTCTAAGAATCTCTCCATGTGACGTCTATAGAACACTTCTCATCCAAGTGAAAAGAACACCCCCAACCTCAGAGTGACCTTTAAGAACTCACCTTTTGCTTCCTTTTGTCTTCGGATTCTTAGCGAACAAGGAAGGATCAAGTGCTTCAAGGGATTTGCCTTTTGTGCTAAAAAGCTTTTTTTAGTCCTGTGGAGAAGCAGGGAGGAGATGAGCCCAAACCCCAGTTTTACATTCCCTGAGAACTATTTGTATTCATGCCACAAAATTCTAAACGTAGCTTTTAAGAGCTCATGAGATTTCCTGTTATCTGTGTCTTCATTCCTTAAGCCAAATTCTTCCAAACAAGAGACTCCAGTACAGGACACTTCTCAACACAGGGGGTACATCACAGTATCCCCTGACTGGTTCTCCATATTTTGTCTTTCAAACATCATTGAGGTAACTCTTGTACAACAGAGAGAACAAATCGAGCATCCCATAAAGGAAGGCAAGCCAGGAAAACCTCAAAAGCTGAAAAGGAACTATAAAAAGACTGCAACTTACCCACCACATTTTAGTCCCAGGGCCAGTAAAGCTGATTTTAACCTGTCCAGTCCCAGGGAGGCCAATTCCTGTTCAATTAAATCATGACAGGAACTATTCAACAAACACAGTATGGTTGTACATTCCTTTTAACTCATTAGAAAAGACAAAAAACAATGAACAGCAAGAAAGGACTGCCAAGGGTGCATCATTCCTCACTGAAGAATAAGAAATGTGACATATTGGACCAGATCTTTCAAGTTACATTCCCCTAACAGGAGAAATTAAATCATCAGCATAAATCCAGGTTTTATCCAGCACAGAGCGAGAGAAAAGCACAGCAAGTCAAATTATGAAAAGGAACAAAATGATTAAGCTTTTACCTGCCCAAAACATAGCCCTAAGTGCAGAGTACTGAGAACTCACCTCCCAAGAGGAAAATGCTGAGAGGTCCAGGTGGGCTCCAGCATGAGTGAGTGCACTGCTGGTCTCTTTCTGCCGACAAAAGACACATACAAGATCTTCGTGACATCCTACCACACCACTTCATGCAATATTCTAACCTCGAGAAGAGCAGTTAACTTCACAGATAAAAATCCTCTCACTAAACCAAGAAGGGAACAATAGAAAAGCTACAAAATAGGCAAAGCTTAAAAAGGTTTGTTTCAAACCAGCTACGGTGGGTTTCAAACTCAAGGTGCTTTAAGCTGCATCTTTGTGAATACACAACCACACACCTCGCTATTAGACTTAACCTCAGGGATGACTTTACACGACTGAGCCACATTCACAAAGGGAAACCTCTCGCAGACACAGAAGCATGCGGGGAGCTCAGTGACTGCTCACCGGCCAGCCAGGGAACGTCCCGTTTTCCCACTTCTTCTCAAACTCAGTCTGAATTTTCCCAAAAAGTTCATTCTGGTCCAGCAACGGTTTCACTCGATCTGTGTAATCCTGCAGGTACTCAAGAAGCATTTCAAGGTACCTGGCAGAGGAAGCACGAGCACAGGTCAGTCAGTATCAACCTCTAACACTTCTCTAACCACATCTTCGGAAAGTAATCACCCTCTAGCACTCCACAGGGAGATCAGCAAGAGAATGACACATGATTTGTAGATGCAGCAGTTACCAGGACAAAACAAGGTCCTTCTACAGAGTAGAATGTGGCTTTCCACAGTGTTGCTGTGCTGCACATTTTCCCAGGGCTCAGACATGACTGAGTTACTACAGCTCAGCGACCCAACTTAACGTGAGTTGACTGTTGATTATACACTTAAGAAGCAAATTGCTTCTCATCAACTGTCACAAAAGAAGCAGGTAGGCAAAAAGGCTCACCTCTTATATTCAGCATTTTTTCTCTCCTTGGGAATATCAAAGAGCTGGTCAAATGTGGATAAGTAAGTGATATAATCCAATTTCTAAAAGGAAAAAGGTTGAGTCAGACTTTATACACATGCAGCCAAATTAACACCCAGTGTCCAGGTACCAGACCAGAAGGAAAGCACTAGCTCGTGCCATCATTCTGGAGTGGAGAAGCCGGGGGTCCTCAGGGGGCTAACACATTGCCTTAGACAACTATCAGCACTCAGCAGCAGCAAACAGAAGCTTTTTACAAGGCCATCACAACATTAACAATAGAGATACCAACTGAGAGACCAAGACAGCAGAGTCACAAAGCAGCACTCAGAATTCAGGTGCTGTCAAGGTGTATGTGGATCAAAGTGACTCTGAAATAGCTATTTGGAAATAAACTTACCTCTGATGATTTTAGGTTGATGTACTTGAGATAACAATCATGCAGATCCAGGTATCGGCCATACCCTTCCTCATCTGTGAACTCCACCAGGTCTGTAGGGAAGATCAGGAAACACTTTATTATGGGCTTCATCTTCTCTATTTATTACACATATACTTTAGAACTTGAAAAGGATTAATCCTGGACTAGTTCATGCTTAAGGGATATAAGTTGATCAGACATCTGACAGCTTCTCTGTGTAAGCACATTAGAACATTCCTCAGGAGGAAGAATTTAAACGACAGAAGAACAGTTTTCAGAAGCCACAAGGGAGGTAGAACTCTGAAGTGTGCAAACCAGATCAAACAACCCATTAAACAATGTCTCTCAAGCACCATATGTCCACTGGCCTCATAGAAAACTACACACTTACTTTGAGCCTCTTCACTGGGGTTGTCTCTGGCCTTCAGCAGTTCCTCAAACTCCACTGACATTGGAACACAGATCTTCAAGAACAGGCAGGAGTTACAGACGTTAGTTACTTCACCAACATCCCAGGAGAATTCATACACAAATCACCACAGAGAAGAGAAACAAGAGAACTCCTAAAGGTGCCCAAAGCGTTTCTTCACCATTAGTTCTGCACGGGCTAAAAAAGTCTCAGCAGCAAAACACGTCTGAGCAGAGAACATGGTCAGCATCTTCTATCCACACTGCTCACACAGGAGCTCACACACTGCCTCTGAAGCACTGCCCACCCTTGAACACCTTCTTTTCTCAAGCAACATTTTAGTGAACTTAGTATTGTATATTAAGGCAATTAAAGTGGGGAAAAAAAAAGCCTGTTGGTTGGAGGGATGGGGAAACCAGACCAGGAACCTCCTGCTGTTGGGAGCAGGCAACCACTCACCTCATTCGGGTGCTTCCGATGAAATTCCTTTATTTGTTTCAGCCTGTTGTAGAATTCTGCAAATTCATTTGGCCCTGAAATGGCGCTGAGCTCCTCCTTCCGTAAGCTGGGAGCACACGAAGGAGGGACAGGTTAAAGGGGAAGGAGAAACCCACCGACAGAGCCTTTCTCCAGGCCCAGTGCTGCGGTTTGATCACGCAAAGCTCTGCTAAGAGCGATTCCAGAGCCCAGACACGTCAGTGCTCAGCCTGCCAGGCTGACGGTGTGAGGCTCCGGGCCACGGCTCCACTTGGACATGGTGTAGTCTCCTCTTCCACACCCCCACAGCAACCCAGGGCCTCCCCCATTAAACCAGGCAAACAACAAAACGTGTATGCCCAGCATGGACGCAGCCAATGTGCAACCTGGGCCCTGCTCCAGCAGCTTTAGCCGCCAAAACCCGAATCCTGGTCTCACAGACCTCATGTATTTACAACTGACTTTGAACAGCCCCACCGGCAAGACACGCTCACGCAGCAGATGAGGTACCTGGAGAGCACTTACCCGTCCTTGTCATCATACAAGTCTCTCAGGTTGCCGCTCACCTCCATGTACCTCTAAAAGACAAAAGCA